TCAGTCTACGAAACTAGAAGAGCCATTCAAGTTTCGCCTTATAGAGATTTAAAATTATCGATTGAATAATATATAGTTTGATAGTGATATAAGGGATACTTATGTTTTTTTTTTTCTTTTCCAAAATTGTTTTCAGTTTTTGTTATGAAGAGATGTTTATAATTTTTGGAATTATAAAACGTGTTAAGAACTTTCCTTTTCAATAGTAGTAATCACTGTTTCAATAGTAGTAGTTGAGCAAAACCGCGTATAATAATAACACAAAGTCAGTACCATGTGAAAATGACTCCAAACAGAATCGTTTCAGAAGAATACTACTACAAAGTAAAAATCTTTGTACCAGTTCCCTAATTGTCATCATCACAAATATGTAACCTCTTCTTCATTTTTTTTGACGTCACAAATCTATTTATTTATAACAAGATATCTCCATTAAATTATTTGTTTTATGCTCGTTTCCAGACCGGGTCATAGGTGGCTTAACCAGTAAACTAATATGATTAATTCAAAATTGACTTTTTAATTACGCAGGCAAAATAAGATTTAATTAAAAAACAAAGAAAGGTGGCTTTTGCTTGCTTTTACCTGTAATATAATTAATTGTCGTGGTGGTCACGAACCGATGCTCTCTCAATCTAAAATCCGGCGAAGACGGGAAGAATCCGGCAGGTCCCACGGCGTAAAGAAGACTATCACGCGGTTGCTCCGCCGTCAATTGAAAACTCATGTAAATCCGCGACGATAATGACTCGATCTTCAACGAACCGTTTACGATTTTCAGGTCTCCTTGATCAGGTATCACTTCTCCAGGAGATTTACCACTTAGTAAATACTGTTTCACCCCTCCGGCTCCGCCGTCTGAAGGTACCCATCCGACGATCGCACTTGCTCCGGGCATCTGACCGTTGGTCGAGAATCCGATCCCGATGAATGAACTCAAATCCGGCGTCGATAATATAAAGCTCCACGTGTTCTCCACCGTCCTCGCATACTGAGCAGAGATTTTTTTCAAAATTCGAATTCAAATTTTTTAAAAATCGGTCGGAATTTGAAATGAATATATTTAAAAGTATGGACCAATATTCAGTTTTGAGTTGGAAGAAGCGCATAATCTAACAATCGGGAATTAGACTTACACGGAGGATGTAACTCTGTTGTGTCCAAACTTCGACGCATTGAAGGAGGCTTGAATTGAAATTAAGATCCTTGAGAGGTAAAGTTGAAGTGCATGAATCCTGAGCATTAACAATGGTAGATG